GGGGGGGCCCTGGCCGTGCCCCACCTCGGCATTGCGGTGGACGAGGGCGACGTGTTGCCCGGGGCGCTGCGGCTCATGCGGGAGCTGAGACCCGCGTGGGAGACGGCGCGGGTGAAGACCAAGGTACGGCCGCCGCCGCGGCGGGGGAGGGATGCGCGGAGCCCCCGCAACCGCCCGGGACCGGCCGCCGCATCCCGCCCGCGCACCGGGCGTGGGGAGACCCGGGGGGCTGTGGGACCCACCGGGGGCTGTGGGACCCACCTGGTGGCCGCTATAGGGCCCTACCTGGGGGTCTATAGTGGGGTCTATAAGCCCCACTTGATGCGGTCTATAGGTCCCACCTGATGCGGCTGTAAATTCCACCCGTGGGTTTCTGGCTCTGTCCTTGGGGGTGGTGTTGGGTGCACCCCGGGGGGCCCTATAGGGCCTGCCTGGGGTGGCTATAGGGTCCACCTGGCAAAGCTGTAGGGCCTGCCTGAGGGCTGCTATAGGCCATCCTATGGGGGCTATAGGGCTGCTGAGGAGGGTGTAGCGTCCCCCACGCACACTTTGGGACTAGAGCTGGGGCTGCTCAGGTGTGCAGAGGCCTCCAGCCCCCGCAGGCTTTGGGGACCCCTCAGGAGGCTGCTGAGCAGTGGCTGCAGATGCAAGAGTGTCCCCAGGGTCTGGTGGGCTATCAAGGCTGGGGACCTGTGCACCGTGTTCCCCCCGCGTTGCCCCCATGGGTGCTGCCAGGTCCCACCACTGCAGGAGGGGGCTCTTCCCAGGAGTCCATCCCCACTGAGGTTCCCGATGGGCTCCTGCCTCTGCTGGGACCATTGCTCTGGATGCTGGGCTTGGGATGGGAACTGGGATTCAGCCCCGGGCTCAGGTGGCACGAGTTGGCAGCGGTGGCTGCAGCGGCTGGGAGAAACTAGCTGGCACCGGGAGCGGGTCCGCACGGAGCTCACCGGTGCCGCCCAACTGCTTCACCCCCCGGTACCACGTGTGGGCCAGGGGCATCTGCGCCTTCGATGGCTCCTGGCAGCGGGCACGGGAGCAGGGAAACCTGGGAGCTCGATGCGCGTTAGCGCGTGTACGTGTGTATGCACGTCCTCTAAGGGCACATGCTTCCCGTGTGCCTGGAGTGTCATTAAAAATGTATTAATAGCCAAGTGTAATTAAATACAAGAAGCTGCAGGAAAATACATATGAAAGGGCAGATGGTGGTAGGCAGGAAGCTCAGAGTTGAGAGTTCCTCAGACTGCAAAGTTTTAAGGGCAGGAAGTGTCTTGGGCTCCGTGTTTGCACAGCACCTAGCACAGCAGAGGGGACAGTGTGTCTCGCTGGTGCTGGTGGCCTAGGGACCTTCACGAAAGACCCCAGCTTTGCGATACCCGGGTCTTCTCCGAGCCCTGGAGGGGGTTCAATATTCAGCAGCAGCTCATGCGTGTGCATGTTTTGAATTAAAAAACAAAACAAAACTTGGGAAAAAACTCCGGGTGCATTTCCCTTTACTGCTTCGCAAGAGCTCCTCAGGAAGGGCTGGAGCTGCGCGCTGCATCTCAGCTGGTTCCCATTAGCGTTCCCGTTAGCTTCCCTGCACTCCCTGGAGCGGCGCCCAGTTCACACCACCTCACCGGGCACAGCTGCTCGCTCCGGCTGTACCAGCCTGTGCCCGGGGCACCTAAAAAGTTCCCAGACAGAGGGCAGAAGATGGGGAGGAAAAGGGGCTGCCTCTCCGCACTGCTGCGGTGATGCTCATCCCCAGAGGGGAGAAGATGCTTTTGCTGCAGGTAATGCCCCTTCCCAGGGCTCTGCTTCCTCATCGCTCATTCCCTGCGTGGGAAACGTGCCGGAGCGGAGCCGGGAGCGCCCGCGGGGGCCGTGTCCGCGTGCAGGGAGGCGGCAGCGCGCCGGGGGAGCCGGAGGAGGAGGAGGGCGGCTGCAGCAGAGCCCAGAGCTGCTTCTCCAAGGCCTTCGCTCGGCGCTTGCTGCCAGGCTCCTGGGATTCCGAGGGCCGCAGCTGCACCTTTGGCACACCGGATCCATGAGGAGCATCTCCAGGCGTCTCCCGAGCATCCGCGCTTGTGCAAGGAGCTGCAGGAGGTGCCACCTCCAAACCAAGACCCTCTCTGTGCATGCACCAACTAACGACACACCAGTCTTCAAAATTGCTGGTTTGGGGGCAAAAGGCTCCGTAATCCCATTAAAATGTCTGGAAAGCGCTCGCTGGGCTGTGGAGCAGCAAAACAAAATGAAACACAACGAGGACTGGGTGTCTCTGCGTGGAGCTGTCCCCGCACGCCGCTTGCACAGGGCATCGGCTCAAGGGCCAGGGTAGCTTTTGCCTGAATTTCTGGTATCTTGGACAAAGAGAAGAGGCAGCAAAGTGTGGCAGAAACATAAATTATTTGTGCATGGGAAGAGCCACTTGGTTGCTTGAAATCTTCTGCTTGCAGGTGATGGCACGGACTACGGGGCCGCTTGCAGCCCCCCGCACAGCAGCTGTGCAGAGAGGGGCGTCTGTGCCGCTAACTTTAGGCATCTAATTCCAGCGCTTTGAGATTCCCTCCAGAAGCTGCATAGGGAGCCCTATATATAGGCACCCCATATAGGAGGGCGAGTTGCCGAGTGAGAGGTCTAAAATTAGACGGCGCCTGTCCCATCCCGAGCGCCGCTGCTCCCGCGGCACGAGCCGTCGCTCCCATCCCGGCCGGCAGCATCGCATCCCGCCGAACGGAACGCGGCGAAGGAAACGGCGGGAGCAGAGGAGGCTCCGCGGGACGCGAGGCTCGGAGCGGCCTCCGCTTCCCGGAGCGGCTCCGGCGGCCGCGGGGGCTCCATGTGCCCGGGCAGCCGGCCAAGGCCGGGCGGCGCGAGAACAAAACTCGCTTTCCATCTGCGAGGAGCCGTCAGAGCCGTGACAAGAGATGTCCCCAGCAGCGACGTCTCTGCCTACCAGCGACTCCGGCCGCGCGGGGCGGCCCGGCGGGAGGGGATGGTGTTTGCTCGCCCTTGTTCGCTGTTTTGCACCAAGTGCTGGTGTTTGCGCCGATTTTGGGACCGGTTCCCAGGGAGGCTCGGATGCTGTGGCATCTCTAGCTATTCCACAGCTCCTGGGTGAAAAGCGGCACTGGATTTCCATCCCAGCCGGGCTCTGCAGCTTCCGCAGAGCCCTGGTGTGCAAACGAGCTTCGAGGCCTCCCAAACTCATCACACCTGCCGCAGCTTTTTCCCAGCTGTGGGTGCTGCAGCTTGGTGCTGCTTCCAGCCTTTCCCATCATTGCACCGGGGCAGAAATGGGGCTGAGGGATCCGGGTTATTCCCGACGCTGCCTGTTACTGCCTTGGGCTTGCGCTGCGACGAAGCCGTCCCCAACTCCCCGGTGTTCCTCTCCCCTTCCAGCTTTTCACCGACGGCATCACCAACAAGCTGGTGGCCTGCTACACGGACGAGGGCATGGCCGACGCGGTGCTGGTGCGCGTCTACGGCAGGAAGACGGAGCTGTTTGTGGACCGGGAGCCGGAGCTGAAAAACTTCCAGGCGCTGCAAGCGCACGGCTGCGCCCCCGACCTCTACTGCGCCTTCCAGAACGGGCTGTGCTACGAGTTCCTGCCGGGAATCGCCCTGGGACCGGACCACGTGCGGGACCCCTGCATATTCAGGTGGGGGGCTGTGGGGAGCAATGCCAAGCGGGTGCTTTCCTCTCCCTTTCCTCAATATTTATTTTATTTTATTTTATTTTATTTTATTTTATTTTATTTTATTTTATTTTATTTTGTGTTCTGCGGTATTTCTTGCATCCCTTAAGCCAGATGAAGGATCCCCAGGCCGAATTCCCCGGCGATGCCAAGGAAGCAGCAGGTTTTTTGCTGTGTTTTGGTGCATGAAGGGAACTGCATGAGAGTCTCGTCTTTTATCTGAATTTACCCCAGAAAGGGGATTGCTGCTGTTGACCTAGGCAGTATCTTGAGATTTTTCAAAGACACCCATCTAAAAATGCTGCAGAGAGGAATTTTGGCCATCTGGACGCTGACTTTTTCAGCGCTGCTTTTGGGGAGCTGCTTTTGAGAGGCTGAATTTTGCAGGGGGGCTGCTCTGGGGTCTAACCTGCTCTGTGTGTCTCGCTGCAGGCTGGTGGCCCAGGAGATGGCCCGGGTTCACGCCATCCACGCCAACGGCAGCATCCCCAAGCCCATCCTGTGGCAGAAGCTGCACAAATACCTCGCCCTCGTGAAGATGGACCTCAGCCCAAAGGTATCCAACCCCAGGTAAAGGCAGAGGGATCCCAAAGAGCCAGCCTCTGGCTTGGGCATCCGCTGCCCATCCGTCTCTGTCTTGCTCGTACGGGCTTGGGGGAGGCAGCCCCGCTTCCCAGGTAAAACTTTGCTGGAGTCGGGGATTTGCAAGCAGGAGATTTGGGGAATGTGTCCATGCTGGCACCAGCTGCCTTTGGATTGGCTCCATCAGCAAGCAAACATGTGGATGAAGCCCTGCAAGCAGGGGCTCGAGGGCTGCGTTTGCAGTTGTAGATAGGAGGGGGCTCAGCTCAGCCCTGCTCGCAGCGGGAATGCTAGAAATCCCCTATGGATCAGAGCTAGCAGGCCTCATTCCAAGCAAATCCGTTCCCTTTTGGGGCGGCCCAGGCCTCGCTGGGAGCTCGGGTTCGTGCCAGGTGAGTGGCCGCGTTGAGGGATGCGCCGATGCTGATGGCGGGGAAGGCTCCCGAGGGCGAGCGAATGATTAACCCTGCGGCCCCGCGGCCGTGACCGGCGCCGGGGCTGCTCCTCCCGCCCGCTGCCCGTCGCCCAAACATGTCTCTCGCG